TTTTTTTTATTGTGTTTGTTTTTCATGCAAAACTCTTTTTAGACTTTTTCGTTCTCGCTTTTTTTTTTTCTCACTTGTATCATACGCCATATTGGAATTTGTCATGTGATCTGGTAAGGTTTTTTTTTTCCAGTAATGCTAGTGCCCAGACTCTTTTCTGATGAAATTTTGAACGCCTGATTTTTTTTTTAAGCCCACGAAAACAAAACTATATTTGGAAAATTATAAGGCCTTATAAGCATTTTTTTTTTCGTTTTTTGATCAAAAAAAACATTAGTAGAAGGCAATTCATCTTAAAAAATTTTTTTTTTTGGAAAAAAATCATGAATTATGCGCGATTATGCGCGATTTGGTAAATTATGCTTTTTTTTTTCAATTATGCGCGTCCGCATCCGCGCATAATCCCGACATGCCTGTATATTATTTTTTTTTTTTAATCTATTCGCTAATTTTTCTTTACTGGTTTCCCTGTGCTATATCTGATTTTTTTTTTTTATTTTTTGGCCAATAAAGAAATCAAAGAAATATGGGTCATCTGGGATCTGATTTTTTTTTTGCTGGATCGGAAATCAAAGGCAATATCCGATTAGGCCACGCGTGCTGATGTTTTTTTTTTTACCGTACTATTACATTATGATATTTGATATAAAGTTTATTGTGGGGTTAGATTTTTTTTTTACTATTTAGAGCCGCTATTGAAACTGGCAAACACTAGTAGCGTCAATGAAATTTTTTTTTTTACCGTATAGTTAGTCGGGGATTCAATTGAACCAACTTTCAGTTGTTTAATTCACCGTTACAGAGTAAGCATTCATAAAAGAATTGCTGGAAAAAGTAATTAATAATAAAAAAAGAAAGAAAGAAAAAAAAGTGTTTTCTTTGGGAATCGAACCGTGGCCACTTGGTCAGGACTTTTTTTTTTAAACCACTGAGCTACGATGGCATTTGCAGTATACTTGTAGCTAAGATTGGAATTTATTTAGCCGTCACTCGCCATGCTTATCCAGAACCGAAGTTAATATAATAGGATTTTAACGAAAAAAATTTCATAAATCGTTTACTTAAAATTCTAATTGTTGAATAATTATAATTTGATTCATCATACATGTATCGTTCCGTATCAATCTTCGAGTTATGCCGCCATTGGTGGCTTGATTTGATAACTGATTGATTTAAGGTAGGTGTGGTCACGTGACCCCCAGCTGCAAAAGGCCTATTGTATGGGCAGTATTCATAAAAAGTGTATGTCAGGGAGCAGTATTTTAATAAAAATTCTTGTTTTTTTTTTAGGGGTCAGTATTTATTTAAATCAAAAGTACCAGATCCACCAAATAATGATTATTATAGACGATTATATCCAGCTATTATAAAGGATTTAGAGGTGAGAGTTTTATTAAAATGTAAAAAGGCTCTTCTATCAAACAGTTTGTCAGAGGAACCTGTATGTACATCTGCAAATATACTTCATTATTATATGCTGTTTTAAGACTATAGAAACAAACTGGCGGTGTGGCCATCATGCATTACACAGAATCTACTGTCGAAGTGAAAACAGCAAAGGAGTTTACTGCTTGCAGTATGATGATCAGAAGATAGTTAGTGGTCTTAGAGATAATACTATCAAGGTAACATGTTAAACCATTTACATGTACAGTACCAGTACATGTACATCCTGAGTCATTTGCATACTCTAGTCATA